CTTCAATTTACATTTTTACTGACTAACTTTCTTGTCTGCAGCACAGCCTCTGGCTTCCTTACTATTCATTCCATCCAAGAAGAGCGCACACACTAACTGCAGATGCTTCCTTAGCCTGATGAAGGGTCTTTAAACCCGAAAGCTTGCTAAGTTATATTCCTCCAACTATTCAGTTGGTCTAATAAAAGATATCAGATTGACCTAAAAAACCTTGTCTGCCTATGTCCTTAGACCAACATGACTACAACCTACAATGCTTAACACACACAAGCGATATGAGTTTTCCTATCAACAGTTTGAGGGGCACTTTCACAGAAACCCCTGCACCTATCTCCTTGAAAATTGGCAGGCTTCATGCCCTAAGAAGGGGCTACCATCTCTGCTGTTTTAATCAAAATCAACAAAAAATGACAAAGTTAGAGGTATTTTAGTGATTCCCTATTATAGTCTATGGCTGAATCTCCAAATCAGTGCCAAATCTCCGAATCTGATTTAGCTGAATCAAATTGGGACAGTGACTTGAATCACTGAATTGAATCACTGTCCCTCTGAATCAGCCAAATCTGAATCCGAATTGAATACTTGCCACTTTGCACAGGCCTAATTTATGAGATCTTTCTCTGTTTTTTTCAGAATACAACAGATTTCCAGGCCAATAAACTTAAGAGAGCTTCATCTACAGCTAAGAAGCCAGAAAGGAGAGCTAGCAGGTGTTTGCTTCTTATTAATCTTTTTAAAAAAGCACAGCGAATTAAGTTTTTTTTTAACCATGTTTTTCTATTAATTAATATAAGTTAAGAGATGCAAGGTGAGAGATACAAGATGAATTTGCCTTAATGAGGGATAACATTATTTACAATGAGAAACAAACAACAGACTTTGTATGTCATTATGCTGAAAAAACTCCAATGTTGCAGTCTAACAACTTGATTCTTTTAGGTGCTTAATATGCCATTGACTCCCATTAATATTAGAAGATGTTGAAGGTATTAAACAAATTGCTAAAACAGGCCCTGGGACCTATTGTATCCTCAGCTAGGAATTAGAACTTCTCCTTGGTCAGCTTTAACAGCTGGCCTTCATACCATCATTTTGTTTTGCTATAACAAATTATAATGTTTACCACCACAATGGGTAGTCTGACTTAGTCATCAAAATTTATCCAGGCACTGATTTATCTTCAACTTTTATGTATACAGTCGTAATTTCTTTCCAGTTACGTATACCCTCTAAATGTACAAGTCTTTACAGGGCCCTGATTCACTAAGCATTCCATATTTGGCAAAACACTTAAGCACATGTTTAATTTTAACTTGAAGGCATTTATATATGGGTTTAAGTCCATGTGTATTCAGCACAGTATGTGTTTAAGTCTCGCTGAAGGTAAGCAGGAGATTAGACCAGTCTGATTAACTAGTTTAGTGAATGCAGATAACTGCTGAACTGGGGTTCTGATGTCTGTCAGGCAATGTCTGTTGATGAGTTCATTTCTGTTGCTGTTATCAGTAACTATAAAGAGGAAAACTAGAATAATTGCCTTTTTGGGAATTGTCATTTTAAAAGTTAACTGCACACTGTCAAAGAAAAGGCATTCTATAAACAGAAGGGTCCAGATCCTATACCACCTATTAGATGCCTACTCCATCCTGCTTGAGCCTCTGAGAAACAGTTAAACTCAAAAATACAAAGCAAGCCTCCTGGTTACTTGTTTTTGTGATGTAGGCCCGTGGCAGACATTATACTTATGATGCTTATACTTATGATTAACCTATACATTTTGCCATAAACAATAATCCTGCCACATATATGGGCAATTAATAGCATGACCAAAGGGTAAAACAGCCATAGAAATGTCTCACATTATATATGTGTCGACTGTAGGTGCTATAGGGCTTATACATTTTCTGAGACAACTTCTCCTCTGCTATGCCGGGCAAGGGGTCCTAGATCACCCCCTAGCCCCTTCCAGTTGGTACAGTCTTGCCTGCTGTGACTTTGATGGTAAGTATATCTTTATTACAATGTACCTGGGGATTAACAGCATACTGTTGAGAGACTTCATGAACTGTAATATGATAGGATTTGAAATAAAAAATCTAAAGAGGTTTATTAATTAATGCTTTATTAAGTATATATTTATTACAATGGGAGGATGTTCACCAAGAAAACACAGGCAGAAGAAACATATTAACTGACTCAATCATAAAAAAAAGAGAAAAATATGGGGCTTCACCATCCCCTGCACCCCATCCTCATACCACCTAACATGCAGGATTCCTTTCAGGGTATTTATAAAAAAAAAATCAGCGGAAAAAAGAACAAAACCAAAACCAGTCCTTACCGCTTCTCATGGTTATAACTGCACTCAAAGCCAATGGTATTACTTAGAGTCCAGATTCCACTTGTTTCTGCCTGGTTGCCACTCTTCTTGGCTAGCCTCAGGTGAGTCCTTTGCTTGTCCTGGGAGTTCACCCTCTTGATGTCCTGCTGTCTCTTCTGTTTCAGAGTTCTTATCTTCATTCCCTTGCTCCTGGGAACTTGCTCCCAGCCTCACTCTCAGCTGTCTCTCTTCCCTTGGGGTGTTCCCTGCCACACCACTTCTCTCTGTGTGCCTCTCTCTCCCCAACCCCTCCTCAGGATCAGAAATGACTTGCTCTGGGCTCTGTCAGCCAATGTAGAGATGGCACTCTCTGGAAAGGTGATTTCTGTTTCTCCTTGTTCCCCACAGTCTGCCGGTTTTCTGAGGTAAGTGCAGGGGAGAATGTTTTCCCTCTGGGAGTCCCTTTCCCTGCTTTCTTTCTCCCTCACAACATGGAACAGTATTTTGTGGCTGGTTTTCATTGTGCCTTAAATGAAACTGTGACAAAGTAAAGCATCACCCAGCATATAGCATGATGCTGGCTGCATGGAGAGGCTTCAAGATTACTAGGTGGTATGAAGTAGCATGGAGACACCCAGATCACCAGCTTTCTGTGCCTGGGGTCCATAGAACTGGCAGCTAGGGATTGGGGAGCTTTAGATGCCAGGGAGCTGTAGGTGCCAGGGCATGGGGAGGCTATCAGTTGATGGGATCATCACACATCAGAAGCCTGATAGACATGGGGTGCAGGGAGTCCATATGCAGGCTGCAAGGATGCCATGGGAAACACGATGTTAGGAAATGTCCCCAATGCTATGCTTCCCATGGCACCTTCTGAACATATGGGCCATTACTACCTGCTACACAACTGGCATGTGTGATATGGCAGGACACCCAGTTTTTCTGAGCCTGGATAAAATTTGTCAAAACCCAATCATGTCATTAAATTAACTTCTGTCAGTGGCCAAAATTTTAATAATAAAATGATGATGCATTACAAAAGTAGACACACTAGCATTTTTTCAGGGACTCAAACAGGGTAGTATAGGTTCATTGAGAGGCACTCAGGGATTGGAATAGAATCTGGCTGTAGGAGTCTTTTCTATCTGTTAAAGAAATCAGGACTTCATTCTCAGTGAGATTAAGAATGTTCACTAGAATTCATTTACTTTTTTGAATGAGAGTTTTCATATGAAGTACCTAAAAGAGTTTTAAATTGTAAATTAAATGTGAACACAACTACTTACAGAATCTCACTGAGAAAATGAGTAAACAACATACAGGTAGTAAGAATACATAATTCATTGCATTATTCCATAGGGTTATGATAATGCTATTTTATTCTCTATGTTGAAGTGTTTTCTTTATATAAACTGTGCCCTTTATATCAATGTTCTTTCTTGCAGTTTTTTTAGCGTTTGCTGCTCAAACGTCTATCCTCTTTCAGTACAATTTATATGAAGAGCTCTTTGGATTTTTTTTATTTCAAATCCTATCCTATTACAGTTCATGAAGTCTCTCAACAGTATGCTGTTAATCCTTTGCAGATTAATATGATTTCAGTGATAATCCTTTCATTTGCTGAACTTTTAAGACACATAAATTAAAGAAAGTGCTTGTCATATTTTCCAGTAAAGTGGCACAAAGCAGGTGATGTGTCTTTAATATAAGTAGGTAGTAATCTACATTGTTTACTTAAAAAAATAAATTTGCAGATGAAGCATGTCACTAGTCACAGTTTTTCTTTGGTATCATATTCTAAATCTAAAGACAACCAAGAAAAATTCTCCAGTGGGTCACAGAAACAATGTTGGAACTTTCAGTGTTCTTCACATACCTTCAAATTATTTGGTATTTGGGACAACTAATAAGCTGAATTGTACTTTGCCTATTTTTACACAAAATATAGAGTGGAATCTATGGGGAACTGGTAGGACATAGCCTCATTGTGGGATTTGCCTATGCAGTGCTTAGATTTCACTTGAATCCTCAAAAAAGTGAGATGCAAGTGACATCCAGGCTTTGTTCTAGAGCTCTGAATAAGGAGAAATCACATCCTGGTTTGTTTAGATATCATTGGCTGTGTCTATACATGCATTAATGCAACATAATAACAGGTACTAACTTAATGCACTGTAATCAGTGCTACTGCACAGTAGCGCCAGCGCATGTCTTTTAGGTGACACTAATTTGCAGTAGACTAATTCTGTTGTACATTAGTGCATTAGCATGGCTTGTACCATGACACCCTAACGTGCAGTAGAGTAAGTCTATTGTGCTTCTAGCATCTCTTGTAGACATGCCCACTGAGGACAGAAATATTATTTCTGCAGATGAAACTACTAAGGTTCAAAATTATCTGACAGAATGGTATCTATCAGTCCCTTATTATTAAGGCTTCTTATTGACAGAGATTTAATATTGACTCCTTCCCCTTTTCACTTAATCTCCTTCCCCTGCAGTTTCCCTTGGCTCAGATTCTCCAAAACATTTTTTTGGGGGGGGGGGATCTACTGCTTTTTTCCATATGACTTAAAGCTTGTATACCATTCTGCTTTCCTTGATGTTCCAGTGTGAAAATTATTCCTATAGAAATGTCAGTAGGAAGGAGGAATTCAAGAGCTTAAAGCTGGTAAGAACTCTGGTTTTTTTCACTCCTGGGCTTACCACAGACTTTTTATGTTGTCCTCTGTGCTTATGTTTC